AAAAAGTGGGGGGATTGTAACAACAAAACCAAAAAAATCCCACACCCGCGGGTGCGGTGGGAGTAATTAGGGAAATGAAAGCCAAAAATTTTACAAGCTGCCAAGCTTGAGAAACACTGATCTAGAGAAAGGTTCTAAAATGCTGGGAGGGGGTTCCTGGAGGAACTTAGTTCAGATGGTCTCCGGTGTGGGACAGTGGGGCTGTCACGTGCAAAGTGACGAGGCAGGACCTGGCCTTCCAGTGCTTTTCTCAACCCTAAAAGATAACCCCCTTTTTGTCTGCCAGGTGGCATTTGTGGAGGACACTGAGAATTCTGTGGCGGGTGGACAAGCTTTATCAGCCACGGAGCGGAGGCAGCTCTGCGTGGAAACCAAGGAGGAAGTCAACAATGACTGCAGAGCTGCTGGTGAGGGACAACTGGGTAAGTTTGGCTTACACCTTGGGCTTGGAGATGGGGAGGAATTACAACTGGGTTGGGGTCGTGGTGAAGGTGTTGGAGCAGGGAGATGCAGGTTCAGGCCCACCTTCTAAATCTCAACTGTTCCGCATCGTGCATTCTGGAAAGAGAGAGAATTGGTCCGATTGTCTCAGGTGTGGCTTCCATTCAGGAATGTGAAAGGTCCTATCATATCTTCTGGTCCTCTTCCCTTCTCTAAATGTTCTCAGCTCTTTCCATTTCTTTTCATAGCACTCCACTGTTCATTTCTTTTCATAGCACTCCACTGTTCATTCCCCAGTTATCTGCATTGCCCTTCTCTGAGCCTGTCCCAGTTTGTCTGAATCTTTAAAAGGTGGGCTCCAGATCTGGACCCAAGACTCATGGTGAGACCTGACCAGTCAGAAGAGAATGGGAGAATTTCTTCCTACGATTTGGAAATTACCTTTCTGTTGATGCCACCTAAAATTCTCTTTGCCATTTTTGCAGCCATGTCACCCTGCAGGCTGGTACTCCATTCACAATCAACTACTCCCCAATCTTTTTTTCATGAGTACCACCCTCCATCTTATACCAAGGCGTGTGACTTTTCCCAAGAAAAGCATTTTGCACTTGATTTATTTATAAAACATTTATTTATTTATAAAACATAACACCCCGTTGCAATGTAACGATTCTCAGCAGCTTACGTAGTATATCATATTACAAAAATGAAAACAGCCATGGTACAATTAAAATAACATCATAAAATCCACAACTAAAAAACAACCTAAACAAGGGAAAAACAGAAACGAAGATGTACAGCGGTGTTTAAAACTTTGTGAACCCTAATCCCTTATGGACTGTTTGCCGAAAAAAGAGAAAAATGAACTTTTGATTTATGGATTTGAAGATTAGAAAGAGTAGCTTATGGAAAGAAGGAAATTATGATGTAAATTTAGAGAGGGTAAAATATAAATGCATTTTTAACTGCTCATTTTTCTACTTATTGTTCTGGCTTCTAGGATACTGGCTATCCTATCCAATTATTTTATCATCTGAAAATGCTATAAACCATCACCTCCTCACCCAAGTAATTAATAAAAAAACCGAAAGAGTAGAATACCCAGAACTTAACTCTGTGGCACCTCCAATTTGATGAGTATGATTTTTCTGAGTATGATTTTCAAGGCAGTTGTGTGTCTACCTCATTGCCACCCAATGCAGTCCACCCTTGACTAGCTTCCTAATGTTATGCTTTGCTGAAGTCAAGATATATTATGTCTAGTGCATTCCCATAATCTGTTACCTGATCTGCTCTTCACAGTTTCATGATGACTGTGATCTGGGAGTTTACAGTTTTCGATAATCGATAATCACAGTTTTCAAGTTGTTTACAGATTGATCTCTTAATTATCTGTTGTGGAATCCACCCCAAATATCACTGGCAGCCTGGCTTGTCAGGCTGGATCGTCTTGTTGGATCTTCTTTTTCTCTCATTTTGAAAATAGAGGCAATATTTTCAACTCTCCAGTCTCCTGGCATCGTACCAGTTCTCCAAGAGTTCTGAAGGATAATGCATAGGAGTTTGTCCAGACCATCAGCTAGTCTGGCCTAGAAAATGTAAACTTCAAAGTAAAAAGGTGGTCTCTGGCCATGTTTCTATCACTCTTCAGCTTCAATCTCACCTTTTCCTTTTGCTCTTCATAATTTTCTGGTGGGACATAGGCTTCTTTTTAGAGAAGCCTAAACCAAAATAGAAGCTGAATAGTTCTATTTTTTCTTTGTTCCTGCCAGGCTTTTCCCATCTTCACTGAACAGCTTTTCTTGTCATTCTAAACATATTGAAGAAAGTCCTTCTTATTATTCTTAGCAACCTTTACTAATCCCAGCTCACTTTCAGTTTCCTACTACCAGCTCTGTAGTTCTGGGCAAGCTGTTGGAAGGTGGGAAAGAGTCAGGAACTTACCCAGATCTAAACACACAGTTACTTTTACAAACTAAAGTGTTGTTCTTTTGTTACAGGTAGTCCTCACTTAACAACCATTCATTTAGTGACCGTTCAAAGTTACAGTGGTGCTGAACAAAGGGACTTACAACCAGTCCTCAAGCTTATAACCGTCACAGCACCCTGTGGTCACATGATTGTGATCCGGGCTCTTGGCAACCAGCTCGCACTTATGATGGTTGCAGCATCCTGGGGTCATGTGATTGCCATTTGCAATCTTCCCAGCCAGCTTCCAGCAAGCAAAATCAACAGGGAACTGTGGGATTTGCTTAATGACTGTGTGATTTGCTTAATGGCCGCAGTGATTCACTTAATGACTGCTGCAAAAAAGGTCGTAAAATCAGGCCCGACTCACTTAACAACCACCCCACTTAACAATGGATTTTCCCGTCCCTATTGTGGTTGTTAAGTGAGGACTACCCATACAGTGCTATTGAATGAGTTTTTTTGTGTATGACTTCCAGTCTGTCTTGACTTCTGGCAACTGCCTAGAAAAGTCCCTGCAGTTTTCTTGGCAACATTTTCAGAATCCATTTGCCCTTGCCTTCTCCTTCCTAGGGCTGAGAGAGAGGGACTGGCCCAATGTCACCCAGCTGGCTTTGTGCCTAAGGAGGGACTAGGACTCACCGTTTCCTGATTTCTAGTCCAGTGTCTTTAACCACTACAACAAACCGGCTCTCAAAGTATTAATGAAAAAGTAGCTGAAATCTTGCTGAATGTGACTGCCAAATCTTGGATGAGAGTTTGGGACAGCCCTTGAGTAGGCTGTTGTTGACCTCTCACCGTGCAATACGAGAGAATAAACCTCCTCTCCCATTGTTTCCTTTTCCCCACTTTTTGAGGGGAGGAGTTTGAAGTCGGTGCCTTTTGTCCAGACCCTGAGTTGTTGGGGATCCCTCCTTGTGTCTTGAGCAGGCAACGGATGGATGGCCGCAGAAGATGGGGTAGAAAAGGTGCCAGAAGACTGTCAGGCTTTTGCCTGGAAAGCCAAGGAGAACTTCTCTCCAGCCTGTGAAGGGGAAAATTCCTTGGCAAGTTGCGAGGGAACAGAGTCTTGGCAGCAGATCCAGCGCGAAGAAGATGCTTCCAGCCCTTGCAGCGATGGCCTTAAGAGTCACAGTGAACCCACCATCCAGGTAGAAATCGATGCAGGTAAGCTTTATGATCTTTACTGTAAAAATGATCTCTGGAATCTTCGGGGAGGGGGGCGGATTCTGACTTTGTAGCCCAGTTGGCTTTCCTGGTGGCCTCCCCACCAAGGATTTAATTCAATCTGACCCCGCTTAGTTTTGCTTCAGGATCAGTCAAAGAAAGTTGCTGCCCTCTGCTCTGCAGGACCCCAAGGCCTCTTAAAAATACAAACTCCTGGAATGCTCTCCGACCCCTTCACCCTACAGTGGGGCTGCTCTGGGTTGCACAGCCGGGAGAGAGGAGGCTTAGAACGGAGAATCGGCCATCCCCAGAGCCTCTTCCCCGCTCCTTCTCCTTGGGGACTTTTTCTGGCTTTGTTCACTCCCCAGCCCTTGCCAGACTTGGCCCTTCTTTTGCTGGGGGTTGCCCTTACGCCAGATTTGGCCTGTTCTGTGTCTTTTTCAGAAAGTTAGTCTGCTGGCAGGTAGACAGACCAACGCCTCTCCACGCTCATCCCTTTCCCGAGTTCTGTTAGGTTGCAAAGAAGAAAAACAGAAACATCATAAAATACCAGCCTCACCCAACCCAGGGACTGACCGCACAGCCTCCCCACCGTGCCTCCCCCAGCCTTGGAGGCTGACAAGAGCATAACAAAAGCCACACGCAGCTCCTGGCTGAGGAAATGTACCACCTGTCGATGGGGAACTTGAGGTTCACCCCCCCCGTGCCCTTAGCTGGGGTTGCTGCAAATTGAGGCTATTTTTTTTCAGTTGTCTAGCCGTGCAAGGCTGCAAAAAAGTGGATCATCAGGAATTGAGCTTGCCAATAAGGAGATGTGGGAGCTGTGCTGCATTGGCCAAGCTCCCCTTTGAGAATTTGACTGTTTCTGGGTGCCAAACCCAGAAGGATTTAGCTCTGATCAAGCATGTTCAGGGAAGGGGAGGCAACTATGAACTTACCCCTATGAGGAGGATGGTGCATGGAGAGAACCACAAAGATAAGGAATGTGGCACTAACAAGTACAAGTAGTCCTCGGGTTATGACAGCAGTTGGGACCAGAATTTCCATTGCTAAGTGATGTGGTTATAAAGCACATCGTCACGTGACTGCATTGCTTAGCAATGGCAATTCTGGCATTCCCAGTTGCTGTTGTTATGTGAGGACCATGCTGGTTGTTAAGCGAGGACCTCACATGATTGTGACTTCCGACTTCCTGCCGGCTTCCCTACTGACTTTGCTTGTGGGAAACTGACAGGGAACATTGGAAATTGCAATCACGTGACTACGGGGGTACTGTGACCGCTGGAACTACAAGGACCTGTCGTACTTCCCCCTCGTTCAGTGCCATTGTAACTTTGAACAGTCGCTGAACAAATGGTTGTAACCCGAGGACTACTTGTAAAACACGAATTAAATCCTGGAAGAGAAGAATACATAGAAACGGAAAGTGATCCTGCTTTGACTCTGTGTTATAAGGGGGAGGGATGAAAAAACACTGTCGGGCTTTCCAGACTCATGTCAGCCCTTCAAGGTAGGCCTAGTCAGGAAACAGCTTCCACGAGAAATACTGGAACTCTCCATTATTGATACAGGCGTGAGTAGCAAAATCTTGAAAGTTTGACAGCATTTCCCCTTCCCTCCTTCTTATACCCAAGAAAGTCAAGGTGGGATCACTTTCTTTCTCACCCCTTTCCCTTTCCTGGGCTTAAATTTGTGTTTGACTGACTGCCACTGCCACATTCCTTGTCCGTGGTCATCTCTATGGCACTCTACTGAAGAATGAGAAAGATTGGCCCTTGAGTGCAGAATGCTGAAAGACTACATGAGGGCATCTTTCAAGTGCCTGAACAGGTGTTGTGCAGAAGAACACTGAGTTCATCTCCAACCAGGGGCATCTACGATAGGGAGAAGGGGGTCAAAAAAGTCAAGATGGCAGCTACCCTGGCAGGACCAAAGCTCCACCCTTTTTTTATATACATCGCAGCACATGCAGGCTTTAAATTACAGGAAGACAGATCCACACAGAGTGATAGAAAAAGTTTCTTAAGAGAACCAGTGAGCCAGACAGGTAGAGGGCCCCCTTCATGGGATGCACTCAAGGGGAGGCTGGATGTCTGTCTGAAATGCCTGAATTTGGCTTCCAGCACTGAGGGGGAAGTTGGGCAGATGGTTCCAATTACATCTTTGGAAATTAAGCTGTATGAGGAACGTTTCAAGGAGCTGCCTATGTTGTCTGAGCAAGAGGGGACTGAGAGGAGACAGGATGGCAGCATTCAAGTCTTTCAAGGTCGATCGTATCAAAAAAGTGCACTTCTTTGCTCTTGCCCCAAAGGGCAGGACCAGAATTAGGGAGTTAAAGTTAAAAAGAAGTAGATCCAGGTTAGATATCAGGAGGGACTCCCTGATGATACAACCTGTTAGCCATGGGAACAGGCTGCCCCATGAGAGGGTGAGTTCTCCTTTGGCAGAGGATCTCAAACGGAAGGTGGACGGTCGTCTGTCAAAGATCCGTTAGTGGATGCTTAGATGGCTTCTAGGATCCTTTTTGATCTAGGGTTCTGTGAGCTTTCCAACTCTTGGATTCTGTGATTTTAAAAAAAAGTTCCATTTTTTAAAATGTAAATTTTAATCAGGAAGGGCAGGGCGCCCAAAGATATTCAAAACAGCAGTGGCTCCCACTTGGATTGCATTGCCAGTCCCAGGTTTAGGAATAAGAAACTCAGGCTTTGGGGGCAGGGTGGGGGCTCTCCCTCAAGGACCCTGACAGCATTTCTCTTTTCATTCCAGCCGATGAGATGTGGGAAAGCAACAGCGAAGAGGGACTTTCCAAGATACACCCGACAACAACCCAGCGTGACGATTTGAAGGAGAACTTGTGGAACCAAGACGGGCTGAAGATGGAGGAAGAAAACCACCCCAAGGGACATCCGGCTTTTCCTTGTAACGGTGGTGACTTTCCTGACATCATCGTCCAAGAAGAACCAGGAG